AGTGGAGGAAATCGGATACTGCTTACGCTGGGTTTACTTTTGAAAGAAGAGGTCGTATTGCAGATTAAGAGTCGGCCCAAAGAGAGAAGTGCAATAGCACGTCGTACATGTGCTGAGTATAGGCAGGTGCTTAGGATGGCGACTGTTGCCGCGATAGCGGTCGTGCGCAGCTGGAAGAGCTCGAACCTAAGACGTCGCGATCTCGGCACTTATCGAGCTTCCGCACCCCTTGCGGCGACGTCAGCGTGCTGTAAGCAGATCATCTTTGACTATGAGTTTACACACGGGTTTTATACAGATACGGCAGCTAAGTAGCTAGTTGCTGAAAGCGAGAGCGCTTCACTGGGCTATAGATGATAGATAGAAACTACAGATTTGTGCGATAAATTGCCACGAGCCGCAGCTCTTTAGGTAAGTAGCTTACGTGGAAAATTGGAGAAGGAACTGTACGTTGTCTATATGGTTCTCACATTCTGGCAAGGTGCATGGTAAAATGATGACCTACGTTAACAATAAAGAATTATATGCATGGTTGCGCCCATTTTCGTGACAACGATAGGACACAAGCATGATAATAAATATTCAATTGCCATCGACAACACATACGAACACATTACCACAGAAAATGGTTTGTCTTGTCAATATTCAACATATTGCAGTAACAAAACTTTTTAGTATTCGCACAAAACCAGTCAATTGAAAAATCTTTAGCAAAGTGAATATTCCTTTTAAGTCGTAAGTCTAACCCACCCCGCGTAGATTTCGCCATGAAATATATACATTACAAAAGTGAAGCTACCAAGAAGCGCGACAATACACGCCATTCTGTTCCAATCGACAGACTCGCTCTCAATATAAGTCGTAAGATCTGATGCCTGTCTCGCCGTTATCTTAGCCGGCGGTCCGGGCTCGCCAATGGTTTTCTCCACCTTTTCAAAAGCCCTTTCAGCCCCAATAAAGTCTTCCTCTGATTTAAAGTGCCATGGGCGTCGTCTATGCACAAGATTAGAAAACTTGCTTACAACACCGCTAAACAATCCTCTTTCTTCCACATTTTTCCTAAGCAACCCCTCTTCTTCCGCGCCCGCCTCCCCTTCTTCTTCCGCGCCCGCCTCCCCTTCTTCTTCCGCGCCCGCCTCCCCTTCTTCTTCCGCGCCCGCCTCCCCTTCTTCTTCCGCGTCCGCCTCCTCTTCTATATTAATAGTCTTGACGCTAAGGGCTGTCTTGTCGTCCATGGATTTCACTTGAGCGATAGTGTTCTTCTCAGCAGTGACGAGTCCCATACTGCTTATCAGAAAGGTAGTTACGATCAGAAAAGTACAAAAGCTGCTCGACCGCATGGTAAAGCTGGTGACGTGAACCTTTACGTGCTTGGCAGCTAATTTGAAAGTAAGGAAAATTAGTTACTGTACAAAGTTAGGTTGAGATCGTGAGGCACTGTCCCACGCCATATGTCTGAAGTCCCAACATGTCTCCTGTGAAAAAGACAGTCTACCCTCAGTGACTGTAAATGATAGAAATCCAAATAGTAAAGTCGAACGCAGTGGAATATCAGAGCGAAGGACAATCTCAGATAATTTTATCGTGTCAGGAACGTTGTTGGCGCTTGATAGGTACAGATGACCTTTTGAAGCAGTGTACAATGCTGCGGCCTCTAGCGTTCTTCAAGACACTTGGTCTCTTTCTGCTACGAGCTGACTCCTTGTGTCGTCGCAGTGTTGCAAGTAGAAAGTTCACCGTAATGTGCATTTCTTGCTCCATGAATCCTTTTTATAAAAGATGCGTGTACATGGAGGTCCAAAGCAAATATTGTCTTAGCGGAACCGAGATAGCAGTCCGACATGATAGACGGGCTACCAGCCATATGCAGCTCCTGGACTTTCATGCGTTGTTATTGTGGTTCGCTACCAAGCAGAGAGATCTTGCACTAAACAGTAAATCGACAATCTGTTCGCTATCTATCTCTGTTACTCCAAAGCATTCTGTGCAAAATGCAGCTCAGAGATCCCCAATCATCACGACATTTTTACCAAGACCTAGTAACAAACAGAGACCGTGACAAAGGTGTGACTATGTCTGACTTGATGATATAGAGCAGATTTGCCCCATTTCGTTTGGACTGATTGCTTTTAAGCTTGAGTTATGAGTGAGACTTGTGCAATAGGTAGGTAGGAGGAGTCAAAGTCAAAGAAGCCTCGGTCTGTTCAACTACCTATTGCTATAATAACGTCGTTGATTGGAGGAAGTAGTACCCACTACACCGTGGTATGCAGGAAGGCAAACACTTAAGTATGCAAGTTTTAGGTCTTACTGAGAGCCCTCTTCAATATGTCCCAATATAATGACTGTCAACATTATTATGATGATACATGCGTCCAACACACTATGTTTGAAACTGTTGTAGGAGCTGCGCCATGTGTTTGTTACTTGGCAAACATTAGCTAACTGTACATACACAGTCCAACATTAAATTCCTTGGCTGCAAGAATGAGACTCGACCATGCGTGGATATTCATATGTCTTTTGCGTATCCGTCCTTGTTTACGCTAAATGTTGAGACTTCTGTGTCGTCCCACAATCCATATTCTCACACTGTAGTGTTCTTGCATGCTAAACTACAATCTTTCAGCACACACATTGCAATTCGTTTCTTTATTTAGATTACGACAGCCTCCTGTATACGTTAAACATCTAATATAAAGGTAAGGCTGATGTTGGGCATTGGAAGGACTCTACAAAGTACAATAAATCGGCCTTGCCTTGTCTACTACTTACGACTCACACGTTACTCGATGAAATGTGTGCAGTTACCGATAACTGTAGTGCACTTGCGCACTGAAGTATCAATAGATTGCATTTGGCAACATAGTATCATCGAAACCTATACAAACTAGATCGTATTTGATCAACATCGAGAAAATGTTGCGAAAACGACCTAAATTTTGCCAACTTTTTAGCAAAATGACTTTGGCTAAGTACGCATAACCCGTCACGAAACTGGTCAAAACGGAAAAACATATAAAAATGTACCCAGGCACAACAATTTGATGTCTTTCCTAATGACACAAAATAAATTACCATTTCTAACTGGATTAAAAACGGACCAAATAATGATCTACCTGTGAACCTTTTTTCTAAATTTCCACCCTTTTTACCCATTTAAAGTTCAAGAATTTTGCTTTCTCCGAAAAGACTCATTCCGCACTGCCGTCAGTGGCTATGGCGAACGCGCGGGTCAAACAAGCGCGGCATCGGGAGTCTTTACACAGTCCAAACGCCTCCGAAACAACAGCTGTCTCTTCTCCGCAGATGCAGACACCAGAATCATCTATATTTAGTGTCTTATCGTCTCAAAATGAGCATTTTTCCGACGCCCCAAGCGAGCGAGAGGCCATCGAAACAGCTTTAATGATGCGGAAACGTACTTTAGAGAGAGCAATTGAGAAATTAACCCTTGGTAAACTGATGCAGAAGGAAACAATGCCTGATTGTGATGCCACAGGGCGACGGTTGACACGTTGCCATCGTGATTATTTGCTTCAAGAGATGGAGTGGATGGCGGCTGATTTTAATCAAGAACGTAAATGGCGTCTTCGTAATGCCAAGGCCATGAGTCATTCTTTAATTTCTCATTTAAATCGACAAGAAGCACGGGCTGCAAGAGAAGAAAAGAGTAAAGAAGTAACTAGACGTCGTACCGCAGCTCGCGTCGGGCGTGAAGTGAAGAAATTTTGGAGCAAAATTGACAAAATCATTGCATTTAAAATGAAGTTACAAGTTAATGAATTGCGCCAAAAACAGATGGAGAAACAATTAATTCAGTTGGTACAACAGACGGAAAAATACGCAATGGCATTAACAGCAAGTTTTCAAATGGAGAGATGTGAAGAAATACAAAACGAGGAAGAAGATGAAGATGTTGGGTTTGAAATTGAATTGTGCTGATGATGATGAAGCACGATCTGTTGAAACGGAAGAAATACAAAGTGGACTGATGTCGCGACAACAAGGAACAGCTGAAGTGGCAATGCTACAGGAAGAAGAAATGGCCATTGATGACCTGAAATCAAAATATGCGAAAGCTATGATAACTATTGACAAGACGCTTGGAATTGAACAAGGTGATGCCGAGAGCGAAAATGATGATGAAGATGTCGGGGATGATGATTTTGTGCCTACGAGACGCGAAGAAGAGGAAGAAGCAGATGATGAAACGACGATTGATGAGGAGGAAAGATTCGACCGGAACAATTCATTGGTCAATAAAGCAGAAGAGTTACGATTGTTGGAAGAAGAGGGCGAGATGTCCATTGAACAGCTTCAAGCACGATACGCGACAATCTCAGACGATGAAGACTCAAGCAACGACGAAAATGGGAGGCAAGTAGATGTAATGCTCGACAGTAGGGAGCCTTGCGAAAATCAGGCTTGTCCAAAACGTGACAACCCGAAATCTGAGTTGGTCGGTGCCTCATCTTCTATATCTCCTGTCGCACGAAAGGGTGGGTATAAGCGTCCATATTTGTTAACGTCCCGGTTAGATCTACGAGAGTATCAAGAAGCTGGAGTGAATTGGCTTGTCAGCATGTGCGAGCGACGGATCAATGGCATTCTTGCCGATGAAATGGGTCTTGGCAAGACTATTCAGACGATTTCGCTTCTTGCACATCTCGCTTGTGCTCAGGGGATCTGGGGTCCTCACCTTGTTGTAGTACCAACGAGTTGTCTTATAAATTGGGAGATGGAGTTTAAGCGTTGGTGCCCGGCATTTAAGGTGCTGACGTATTTTGGTTCCGCAAAACGCCGTAAAGAGCTTCGACAGGGGTGGTCAAAGCAAAACGCGTTCCAGGTATGTATCACCAGCTACCAATTGGTGGTACAAGATGCGCACTGCTTTAAGCGGAAGAAGTGGTACTACTTAATTCTAGATGAAGCACACAACATCAAAAACTGGAAGAGTTTACGCTGGCAAACGTTGCTGACATTCAGCTCGCAGCGTCGCCTTTTGCTCACAGGTACGCCGCTGCAGAACAACTTGCTGGAGCTCTGGGCACTTATGCATTTTCTGATGCCGCACGTATTTGCGTCGCGCAAGGAATTTAGTTATTGGTTTCAAAATCCTTTAGCGCTAATGGTGGAGAATGGCAATGGCCCAACTCAATTAGGGTACAATGGGGTCGATGGTGGCAAAGACTTAGTGGCACAGCTCCATGGTATTATTCGGCCATTCGTATTGCGTCGGCTCAAAAAAGATGTGGCGAAACAATTGCCGGGAAAGTTTGAGCACGTTATCATGTGTCATTTGTCGAAGCGACAGCGATTCTTATACGAGGATTTTATTTCTCGCAGTGTTACACGTCGAGCAATGTTTGGCCGTGGAAGAGGTCGGGGCGCCAACTTCATGAGCATGATGAATGTCCTTATGCAGTTACGGAAAGTTTGTAACCACCCGGATTTGTTTGAGCCACGTCCGATCGCATCTCCGTTGGATATGCCGGGTATCTATGTGCACATGCCTTCACGCTGTGGTTATTTAGTTGATGAAATTGTTAATGAGCGCTCACACGTGGCTCTTTGGGCCGACCATAATCTGCCTGGACTGGAACTGCTGCTCAGCGAAAAGTTGGCTTCGAAACGACGAAGAGAGCTTTTCTTTTATGACGTAAGTGCACCGCTTCCCGATGATACTGTTGTAACTGTGCCGTTAGCGTACAAGGGCAAAAGAGACATTGTGCGAAGGATTGTTAGGCTTGCAGCTAAGCGCCGCGAATATTGGGAGAATAAGCGTTCAAGTGTTGCACAGCTTCAGAAGCTCCGCGCTGGGCTTTATTTGGACGAACCTGTGTTTGGAGGTGCGCTTATCCGAGCTTGTACGATGCCAATTTTTATCTCACCAGCTATGCAAGTTCATATCCATCGTGCCCAGCCTTTGTTAGATTCTCGTCAACCGACACTGGCATTGCAAGATATGGTGTGGGACCCTGAAGAGAGATTGGCGTCGCTCGAGTCTATAGTTAACAAATGCGTTTGCTATGTGCCGAAGGCTCGTGCGGTGCGTGTTCAGGTGATCTATGAAGGCGGTGGGTTTGCTTACGACGATAACTTTGTGCTTTCACGACAAGCTCGGGCTGAAGAACTTGATTTGAATTACATACAGCCTGCTGCACGTCGCATCGTAGAACCATATTATAACTCATTTAAACGCACACAGCTGTTTTTTCCTGACAAGGCGCTGGTGCAATTTGACTGTGGCAAACTGCAGAAGTTGGCAGTGCTTTTGCGCACGCTGAAACGCGGCGGTCATCGGTGCCTCATTTTTACTCAGATGAGCTCGATGCTGAATATCCTCGAGGTGTTTTTAAATTTGCACGGCCACACGTATTTCCGTTTGGATGGTGCGACAAAAGTGGAAAAAAGACAAATGCTTATGGAGCGTTTTAATCGCGACGATAAGATTTTTTGCTTTATATTAAGCACGCGAAGCGGCGGTCTGGGAATCAACCTTACCGGTGCTGATGCCGTGATCTTTTACGACTCTGATTGGAATCCAGCCATGGATGCGCAAGCTCAGGACCGTGCTCATCGTATTGGCCAGACACGTGACGTGCACATTTACCGTCTTGTGAGCGAACACACAGTGGAAGAGAATATCCTTTGCAAGGCGCAGCAAAAACGGCATTTGGATTTTCTCGTGATGTCAAAAGGGCAGTTCACCACTGACTTCTTCTCCAAAGCCAGTCTCCGGGAGCTTGTGGTTGGCACTGCAGGAGAGCCCGAGGATCTAGAATATAATGAATTTGAAGCTAACGATGGGAGTACAGACGAGGACATGGAAGATAATAACGAGATATCTTTTGATACTGTGGAAAGCGCTATGGCGCAGCTGGAAGATGAGGAGGATGTTTTGGCGATGAAAGGTGCACGGGCAGAGTTTTTGCAAGAACAGAACGAGTTTGACGAAGATGTGGGTGGTGGTGCTAGTGTTGCGTCTCCGAGTGCAAGAGTACCAATAAGCCATTCTGGGGATACAGTGTCTTCGAGGCCTTCAACGCCATCGTCACTATCGATCAGCACTGTTGCGAGTGAGAGGGGTGATGATGAAGACGATGAGTTTGAAAACGAGAACACACTAGATGAGGATACAAGAGGAGAAGTTTATAATCGACCTTCAAAGACGGGAAGTATATGCAATCTTAACAGGTTTGAGCATGAAGAGAGCATGAATGATGATGAGCAAACAGCAGAAGCAACGCGAAAAAGACTGCGTTTCAATACTAGCGATCAAAGGAAGACGAAAAAGCGTCTGAAGTTTTTGAAGCCACAAGATCAAAATGGTAAGCATGGTGATAAGGTTCGTGAAAAGGCTCGTGACGCTGCTGAGGAGCAAAAGCTTCAAGCTTGGAAGGCGTCAGTGCAATCACTACAAGGATTTGAAGACTCTTTGAACTCGGTTGATCGCTACGCTTTACACTTTCGTGAAGATGTGGATCCTTTGTACGCGTACTCACCAGCTCAGCAGGTAGCGGCGCTAGCAGGAATCGACTCCAACCATAACGTAACAACTTTATTGGAAGACATCGAGCAAACTGAGGCAGAAAAGCAAGCAGAAGAGGCGCGACTGGTTGCAGAAGGCGAACTTGTTGTTGGTCAGATGGATGACAATGATGACGTTTGTCCTGAGCAGAGGACAGAGCATTACACGGAACTGTACCGTCGTGAACGCGCGCACGTTCTCTTTGAGCAGCGTAAGCGTCTTTTGACTGGCGCAGCATGGTCACTTATGAAATGTGCGAAGACTGGTCAGCCTTTTTACTTCAATGCTGATACCCGTGAAGCTACGTGGGAATGCCCCCCTGTTCGGATTGCTAACGAGCAGTTAAGGAGCGCACGAGGGAAAGGGTATGCAGGCTTACCACCACCGGCATTGCTTCGTGTGCTATCGATGCTGAACCAGTTTCCAGAACGTCACCGTGCTCAGATGGTCTGCCGCAGCTGGCACAATGCTGCACAGCACCAATCATTGTTCTTAAAGATCTCCGCAAGTGACTTCGACATAGGGTCGCGAAACCCCTTGGCGAAGTTGTTAGCGAAGGTGGCTCCGGGTGGCACGGTACTTTTTGGCCCGGGTGTGTATCAATTAAATGAGACTCTTGAAATATCGAAGCCGTTAAGGCTACTCGCGATCCCTGATACACACGTCGAGTTGCAGATGATCTCTTGTCGAGCCCAACTTCGCTGGAGTGCGCGCGGCGGTGTGATTTGTGGTTTCCACTTCACGCGAATCAACAATGCATTCGAGTCAACTGCTATTGATTTCACACCGAGTTCTGATGCCACGAAACCTGTTTCCGTGGTAAAAGAAAGCAGACACGCGGTACGAAACCGCGACAAAAAGCTGGGCAACTGGCAGAACTTATTACGAGTTGAAGGGAATGGGAAGTTACGTGTAGAATACTGCGAATTTGACGGAAATGGATTGGGCAACGCTTGTATATGCGTATGGGGTCGAGGTGAAAAGAAAAAGAAGAAGAAAAAGGCGAAGAACAAACGAGAAATAGCAGAATACACAGATACTAAGATCATCTCAGCCTCGAATCCAAGTACTCTTCTGGCTGCAGCACCTGTTTCTTCAACTCCAATGGCTAACACAACGGGGGTTTCTGCAACGACCGCGTCAACCCCCTCAGGTACTACCGCTTGTAAAACAGTTGCTTTATCTGTGGCTCCAAAATCAGCAAGCGATACGACACGCAGTGTTGCCTCTACGGCGTGTGTTACCACTCCAATGACAACGACATCAAGTCTCATAGTAACGGAAAATGTGACGTCGCCGGCAACCGCACAGGTGTCTGTTACGACAACTGCCAGACCGAGTGTTTCCACGCAAACGGCAGCAGCGGTTGGGTTATTACCTAATAGACCAGCAGTCTGCACGTCAGCGGCTGCGATACCACAAGTTAGCACACCAAGCTCTTTAATGACAACCACACCGCGAAATGTTGCGGCGCCGCCTGCTACGGTTACAACTCCTGCGGCAGACACGTTGTTGGTACTACAGAATTGCCGTATTCGTGGTGCAGGCAGTTCGGGTGTACTACTTATGCGTGGATCATTAATTATGTCGCTGAACACTGTTGAAGGGAATGCTCACTCTGGTATTACTATCTTGGGCGGTCAGGCGTTGCTTCGGCGCAACAAGGTTCAACGTAATGCTCGGTTTGGCTTGCGGTTGCTCTATCACGCAGGCAACGTTATTGTTGAAGACAACGCCATGTATGGCAATGCTTGTGGGAATTTTGATGCGGACAACTCCGGTCGGCGCTTTGTTGTTCGTTTGAATGATATGGATAAAGGTAAAATGTCATCAGAAAAGCTGCCGCATTCGCATGGCAAGTTGCGCTTAAAGACTTACCGTGTGTTAGAGAAGGAAGTACCGCGTGCGCCAGTACCGGTTGTTGAACCTGTTATCAGCGCCAGTGCCGAATATTGGAAGAGGCAACGAGCCATAGGCGCAGCAGCTTCGGCCGCGTCGCCGATGATGCCAAAGGAAAGTTCAGCTGCCATATCGACTAGGCCCGTTATTGCAAGTAATATAGTGAGAGCGGGGATTCCAATGGGCTTTATGCGACCTGTCGTATTTCCCCAAGGATCTAATCCGCTGCACGTTTCGCACTTACCGATGGCGTTCGCATCGCTAGGAGCGACGCCTGCGATATCGTCTGTGGCGCTAAACCGACCAGCAACAAGCGCACAGATCCCTACGGCTACAACAACTTTACAGTGCGCTGATAGTGTTCCTGGCGCTGCTAGTAGCGTGTCGGTGAGACCTGACATGTTATCTGCGACGACGAGTGCACCTACTACTACATGCACAACTTCATCCCTTGAGCTCCAGAAAGTACGCCAGAAACGCCGACCCAAGATGCAGCAACTCGTCGTGGGCGGGCGCGAAATCGTGTTGCAGGACACGTGCGAGAAGCCCACCGAGAAGGTGGGAAAACCACGGCGCTTTAAGGACCCACATACACCAATGTTTGGGTCTTCAGGCTTGCAAAGGATAACTTCGCCCTTGTCGCTTCAGCTTAAATTCGCCCCTGGGTCAACCGCAGCAGCAGTAGCAGCAGCAATGAGTGCAATGATGGCAAATACAGCTAAATTACAGGCGGAGGCATCGCAAGCTCAATCAGGAGGTATAACATTTGGAAATACTGCAACGGCCAAGCCTGTGGCATCCACCGTGGCTTTGAAAGCTGCAACAGCGAAGCCCATGGACTCTGTGGCGATGTCATCACAGACAGGAAGCGTTGTGTCGAGGGGTTCGATTAATGTGACGTCAACACCGTCAACATCTATGTTATCTCCCGTCCAAACGAGTAGAAATCCGACGGCAGTGACAAAGTCAGCAGTACATACTATGACACCGAGCATTGGTACAAAAGTTGCAACACCGGCGGCTGAAGCACCATCAATTAAAGCTGTTGCTGCACAGTCGATAGAATATCCCACCCAATCGGCAAAGAGTTTTGGTCGTGGCAATAATGGCCAGCCAGGAAACAAGGTTAGTAAGCCTACAAAATGAGAGACTTATACTGATAGAGACTGTGAACAGACGGACTTATTTATCAACAAACAAAACGAGGAATCTCTAATTACTTGTATATTACATGCCGCCGATAGTGGCGTTACGAGATCTTTGATTTTTTAGAACAAGATGACCATAAATTACAATGCATCAGCTCACTTTAAGGTCATTCAGGCTTGCAGATATTTATGGGCATTGTCAAGTCAAGATCAAGTGCATTACACGTCATGAATGTAAGCTCATGAAACAGTACTACCCATGATCACGTCTCGGCCTGAGATTGTCAAGTTTATTCAATACTCCAGAGTATGTGCGAACCTAGAAAGACTGTCAACCAGTGTCTGACACTGGTCGGGTGTAGTAAGTGTAAGTAACTTCAATACGACATCGTTGGTTTTCGACTTAAGCGCCCTTTGATTTGCAACAAACATGAAGGCTGTAAGAAACAAGAACCATTCGTGACATATCCAAGATTAAACACACATGGGCTTTGAGGTGCTTCAAGCTTGTCAGCGCCAAGAAAAAAACCGGATCCTTGCCTTTACCGATCAATGAAGTTTGTCGTCAGGTAATGGCCCTAATAAGAATTGTGCACCATTTTGGCTTACTTTGATGCCGCTATGCAAGCTGTCCCTAAACAGGATAGAAGACTTGCAATGCTGCTTGTCAGTACAACATTTCAGCGTGTAGTGGTGGAACCAAAACGATCGAGGACCCAGCAACTGCTTAGTCAGCTCCTTTCCTTGAAAACGTGGGAAAAAGCAATCCCACGGACGACTATCTGCTGCCACGACTAAACTTGACGATCGCACCGTGGTTTTTGTAGCGCAACATTCTAGCTTATAAATGAGTCGAAGAGCAAAACAATGCATATCTACAAATTACATTTACACTCAAGTAAGAGGCAACTCACGACACTTTGCGGTGTACACTGTGCCCTCTTGACACAGAACGCAGTGGAACTGCCACGAGACTAAGTGCAAATTATCTCGTAGGCCAATCACTAGCCGTGTACCCTTATCGTACAAAAGTTTTGTAGGCCAAACACGAAGTCCATACTAATGGACTGCCACAACGCCGAGGCAAACTCGCCAAAGGCGCAGCCATACTAGGCGAGGGCTTCGCCCTTTGTCACGTTTCACACGTGCGTTACATACGTATCAACCCATTTATACAACTTGGGCCACCAATAATGGGTGCTCACCGAGATGTAGGTCTTATCATGACCTAAATGACCACCGAGTGGTGTATCATGAGCCTCATAAAGTATCTGATACTTGAGGTCTCATCATGAGGCACCACAACTCGAGGCTGGTCATCCGACCCTGTATTATAGTACAACAGACCATCGGTCAGTGCATAACGATGTAATCTTGCACGATCACGTGGTGACAGCTTTACATTTGAGTTTTCAAACTCTGCGCTACTTAGCGCCTGCAGAATGGCAACACATGCCTCATCATGTGCGTACGCCACACGGATACGACCGTTACTGAAAAACTCACAACAGTGAGATGAGCAAGCTCATAGTCAGGTCTACGTGATAATGCGTCAGCCAAAACATTTTGATTTCCCGGCTTATACTTCACCTCGAAGTTATACTCCACGAAAAAGGAGAGCCAACGAGCCATTCTCTGCGAGAGATGAGGAGACTGTGTCGCTGTGCGTAACGATGCATGATCTGTATCGATCACAAACGGCTTTGAGCCCAACAGGTGTACCCTGAACCTAACAAGGGCATACTTCATCGCAAGTATCTCCTGGATAATTCTTCTCTGCAGCTTTCAGCTGGCGAGACTCAAACGTGATGACGCGTTCTCGACCCTCAGAGTCGACTTGCAAGAGTTCACTGTCAAAGTCTAAAGCGTAACACACGACGCTAAAAGGAAGATCAGGATCATGATGATCCAGAATTGGCGCCTGACGGAGACTCTCCTTAATGGCTTGAAAAGCCTCGTGGTGCTCCGTGCTTCAACACCATTCCACATCCTTTTTAAGGAGATTCTACAATCGCCTAGCCACTTCCGCATAGTTGTGGCTATACTTGTGCAAGTAATTTGCCAAACCCAACCACTTGCTGAGGTCCTTCTAGTTCCTCGAAACCGGCCAACCCACTATGGCTTTGACCTTAACAGGTTCTGCCCAATTTCTTGCTTCCCAATGAAGCATCCCAAAAAGGGAATCTCTTCCACACCGAAGATGCATTTGTCAATATTTGGCATATATCTCATGCATGCACATGCAACTGAGCACAGTTCGCAGGTGTTCGATGTGATTCTCCACATCTGTCTTTTCATTTTCGGCTCGACTATGAACAGATATATCGTCAAAGTATGTCGGTGCATACGCTTTATAGGGCCGAAAAAAACTGCGTCACTAGACGTTTGAGGGTTGCAAGTGCGTTAGACAGCCTTTTGAGCATCACTAACCACTCCCAGAGCATACCGCTCGGAGTGCTGACCGCTGTCAGCGGGATGTCACTAGCTCACATGCGCAGTTGGTAATATCCATTGAATAAGTTGAGGGCACTGTACATCGTACATCCCACCATGTTGTTCTGAAAAACATCCTTGCGAGGAATCGGTGTTTGGCCGGGATAGTGGCTGCATTCAGCTTATTGTAAGCATGCACTGTTAGCCTCTTCCCATTAGGCTTTCTCACACAAAACGTGGGCGTAGAGTGAGGAGGCTTACTCTCACGCACCATGCCAGCCGCGTGCTTCGCACGAAAGAACTCGTCAATGACGTCACATTGTTCTTGTGGCAGCGGCCACTGTCGCGTTACACATTATTTGGTTCCTGGAACCAAGTCAATTTCATGACATACACCTCTATTCGGAGGTAACCTCGTAGGAGATTCTCTGGAGACAACATCTCCATATGTCTTCAACAAAGAAAAATAAGTACCCGAAGGGTCCTTCAGGATCTGTAACCCACTACGCGCATTCAGCGCCTTCTTGGTATCCCCAAGAACTGCATTATCCAAAAGCGATGAGGAGTTCAACTCCTCCTCAAGTCGTATAACAACCACTTCGGCGATGTTGCCTGCCTGTAAGGCACTGCCAAACTCGGCAAAGGACAACCCGTCCAGCTCTAACAAAGCAATTACTGCGGGTATAGCTGAAAGAGCCACCGGCTCTTCAATATCCCCAGTCAAACCATTGACGAGTGTATATAGCTGTTCGCTATCACCGTCACTCACGATATCATCATCTCTACTCATGATGCTCTCAGCGTCCAACGCATCAGCTTCCCCAGGTGTACACACCTCAAGGTTAAAGACCACTTCGTTTACTGACTGCACTCCACCCTCTTGGGTCAATGATTCGTCATGAGGTGTTCGCACCTCGTTGTCCTCAGAGACAACCGTCATCTTTGACTTCACCCGACCCTCTTGGGTAAGTACCTCGTCACTAAGTGCTTGCACCTCGTTATTCTCAAAGATAACATCCATTGATGACTTTATTCGACCCTCCAGGGCCCGTACCTCGTTACTAGGTGCATGAACCTCGGTTTCCTCAAAGACAACATCCATTGATGACTTCATTCGACCCTCCAGGACCGGTACCTCGTCACCTATGTCACTTGGACTCATGTCCTGACATCTTGTCTTGCAGCTACCAACATCACTCACGGTGTTTGATGATGTAACATCATTCTCATGACACATGTCATATGTGTCATCTAGCGGATTCTCAACCACACTATCGATAGTCATTGGGCCTCACCCAGGACTATTGTCCTCGACACTTACAGTGTCTACAAAGTCAGATATTCCGACATCCAACATATTGACCGACTCGGTCCAACATCCACGCCAAAAGCGCTTTTGCTTCCTAGCAAGGGTGGGTTCATGACTCTCCAGAGCCCTACCAAAATCATTGCGCGTTGCTCCTAAGGTCTTCGACGTATAATCAATCCATGGCTCATGGCGTTCTAGCCATGCCATGCCAGGATGCACCCCAACAAAGAATTCAAGTTGCTCGAGAAGCGATATGGAAGAGAAATTTGTGGGATCGGCACGGATCACGTCGCGATCAAATGACAATGGTGTGGAGGGAGAAGTTGCATATCGATCAGAATAAAAGTGGGGCATATAACGAGAAAAACCACGATCGTAATCCATTCGATGCTGCTGATGTGGGTTGGGCACCTGATCGTAGGGATTCAACGATCAAGACGATTATTGAAGCTATTGATACCGATCGAGCACGATCAATTCGGTACGACGATCCAGCCGATTGCGGAACATATTGGTGCAGAGCAAACATGATCTTTGACTTCGACGATCCACTCTTAAGTACTCCCGCAATCGATCAGTCGCCAGTAATCGCCACTGGAACTATGCCAGACGGAAGAAAGAAAGAAGATATATTAATAAAATTCATGTATTATCACGAACCTGGAGAATTATATGCTGAAGACGTGGTCAAAATATAGCAGTCTTGCCAGAGACCGCAACCTTTACGGTGGAATTGGCGATCGACGATAACAAGTGTCTGATCTAGGTATAGCTCCTTTAACTGATCAATAACAGATACCTCAGCTGATTTGGGGGAGCCGTCACCTTTTAATAGCAAAAGGAAATGAGTTACCTCCGGCTGCACGTGGAGCCGTCTGCAATATTGAAGTTGGTAAAGCAGACCCGACCGCGCAACGGGTACGAACGATGGCAAAGTTTCGATAAAAATTGGCAGATTTGATCAAATAAATATTGTTGGCCAAGATCGTTCGACCATTGACATCGCCATGGACATCATTGATCGTGGAGGTTACCAAGAAGAATGGCGTGGATATTAGACTGTGTGTTAGATGTTAAGAAGAAAATAAGCTTACTATATTAATGGTTTCTCCTGTGCCGTTTATCAGTGGACTCCTGCAAGATATTAATAAGGCGATGTGGTCTTGTTCTCTAGATATGACAAGTAGATTCTGGGTTGTGGAAATGACAGAACGCAAGGACAATATCGGAGTTCATTACGACATCCGGGTTATCTAAGTGGTCACACATGCCTTTTGGGCTGAAGAACATATGGTGCAAATCTACCAACGTCTGATCAAAAACACTAAGTATGGTTTTCTTACAATTGGCTCCGATCCGGATACAACTAATAATGGATCGCCAAAGCTGATCGACGTGTCTACTGAAGTCGAATCGAACACGA